CACTCATTATATAAAGTCGCAGACTGTTTATTATATATAGTACAAATCTTGCTAAGTCTTAGACCTGATTAGTACTTATATATTCTTCACATATCCATTATAGCAACTAGCAAGTTTTTATATTTTGTTTAATTTATATTTTTACAAAGCTTATTCATTATTATTATCATTATCAATATCAGTAGCTTTGTCATGTTCACCTTTGATCAACAAAACAGATTATCAACTACATTTAATGCCACTTCAAATATACAACATAATTTTCTGTTAAAGTACTTCACTAACAAATTTTGGCTAGAACACTGAAAGTACTTAGTGCCAGAAAAGATAAGTAGTTAATTAAATTCTAAACCAAATACAATTTATAGAACAAATAATACATAAATATATGTATATTGTATATAACCAATATTAAAAATTGATTAGGTAAGAAACCAAGACTACAAATGTAGTACTCCAAAAAAAAGTGTTATGTTTTGATATATATCATAAGTAAATAACTGTGATTATAAAATCATATTTATTTTTTAAAATAAATTATTTAAAAAATGATAATATAAGTAAAAGAAAATGCCCGCGGTTAAAATATGAGAGGTTAAACTTCCCGAGGCTTGCAGTTCAAAAATTATATAAAGAGAATTTAAACAAAAGATATCTCCAAAGAACATTGATAAGGAATATTTGACAGAGTTAGTTGTATTGTCAATACTACAGATGATGCATACATTGCCGTACCTAAAACAGTGGTATGGGCAACAGCATGTAACCAATAAATATTTCCAATAATCATCGATATCGGATATCTGGCAATATTCGCAACAGTATTATGATCAATACCACAAATGGATAGTTGACAGTATCCGAAACAGTGTTTTGATCAATAAAATTTAACCAATAAATGTTTTCAATAAACACCGTTGATGGAGATTTGGCGCTACCTAAAACAGGTGTATGATCAACACAACAGATGATTGATATATAACAGTATTTAAAACATTTGTATGGTCCGCTGTAGCATTCATTTTAAAATTTTGGACTAAAAACTGTATTTGCTATAATCTACTTCTGCTAAATGATATTCAAGTGCTTATTAGAGTCTTATGAAGTACTTGGTGAATATTGTAGCGTCAAATAAAAACATACCTGCTTTTTAACAGCACTTTAAAAATATATTATAATTAATTTCAGTTGCCATTTTGTGTGCACTTCATTTGTATGTCAAATAGCATTCTCTTGAAGCAGTTGTACACTTAATTCATTAAGTCATCATCTCAACTAATTTTTGTAGTCATATTTTGTGCATCCAAAAATGTTCAAAAAAATACTTTTAAAAGTTCGTAGGATTTTAAATGCGCATTTGCACTGCACTGCACAGCAGGATGTCGATTGCTCAGTTGCGTTTTTTCATCCCAAATATTTTAAGAATATATATATATTTTTTTGTTTTGCAAAAATTAGGTTCTCCTTTCTGTGCTGAACCCCGCAGCAGTTAACATTTTCTGCACTAACGCATACCGCAGGGATGCAATTCACTACCTTTTTTTCTGCACACTGCAAAAAAGGCACAAATTCATATCAAAAACGACGAAGTTAATTGTTTTGTCTTGCATCGTCGAGACCAAAGCGACTTTCAAGACAAAATTATAAATAAATGGAATATCCCTTATATATGGATATGTATGTATGTATGATGCCATAGTATGCATGTAGCGAAACTAACTTGCTACCTAATGCATTTGAATGTCTTTCATTGTTGTTGCATAAAAATCCGCAGGCGTTTACCGGGGGTAATCGTATGTCACAGCAGAGCTAAACAATGCCAAACAAAAGGCATCAACAAGCATTTCTTTGCTCCATAGGCAGTACGGGGAGTAGTAATGTCCTTTTTTTAGTTTCCTTTCAACTCTGCTGCATAGCTGCCTCGTAATCCGATTTTGGTTTAATTTTCTGAGGAAATTTTATTTAAGACAATACCTAACCGTACAACAACAACAAAAACATACAAAAACAAAAATGTTTATTTGTTATGAAAAAAAAGGTAACAATTTGATTGATTACATTTTCTTTGCTTTATTTCAGTTTTATTTTTAATTCATTTAGTGCGCTTAGGCTGATGGGATTTTTATGCAAAACAGGGTTGGATTAACAGCAGGATATGCCCAAGGAAATTGAGTGAAAATTTAATATTGCCGCTACGTTTACATATAATTATAATATCTGTTATTGCTGTTGTTGTTATATTTGTTGTTACAGTTACAGAATGTCTATGTTTCTCAGCTGTGGACTTAGAGTAGAGAATTTAATAAATTAAAAAATTCAAAGCAGACTGTGCACAATATTGAATAGTGAAGGAGTGGGTATAAATAAAATAAAAGGTTTCAAAAATCTCTCATTTATGAAATGTTAAGAAATACTTGTACTAAACTGAGCCAGACTGAGAATAGAGCATGCCGGGATGAGACTGCTAGACATATTCTTTATGAGTGTAGAGCTTAAGTCTAGACTGCAATTACTAAACCACGTCTGAAAAGATAGAATGTTGAATTTGGAAAGAGAGGAGTTCTGTAATCATATTCTGAACAAGATATGGTAC